GATCATTGAACGATAAAGAAGGCTGTTGAAAATATAAATAATTTGAGAACTTGAAGCAAAGGAAAAGGCTTTAACAAAGTGCTTCCTTGAGATGAACATAAAATAAGGCAAGTTATAGTGAAACAACCACTTTTGACCAGCACTCAGATCTTAGAAGAGGCTGAAATTGAAGGAGTCAAGAAGAACAAAAGGCGTAGGATTCTTTGTGAATTGGGATCTGTAAAAAATAATCTCCTAGGCAAACTCCTCTCACTAAAGGAAATATTTTAAAATGTCAAAATTGGGCCAAGAAATACATTAAAATTGACTTTTCTAAGGTAATTTTTATGGTTGAATCTCAAGTGACATTTGATAGACCTGCTGATGGATTGTATCCAATTCAGACATGCCCATGGCTAAAAGAATGCAACAAGGAGGCATTATTATGATATAGGCTGGAATTGTCAACCAAACAATTATTGGACCATTCACAGTCGATGAAGAAGTTAAACTGAACAGTACTAACTATTGCAATTTTATAAACAAGACTTTCTTTGCATGGTACAAGTTCCAGTCTTGCAGTTTCAAAGTGAACTTGGTATTTATGCACAACAATTCTCCTTCTCATGTATTTAAGCTTACCCATGAATTTTTTGAGCATAAATGATTTACAAGAGAGAAGATAATGGAATGGCCACCATCAAATCCTGATCTGAATCCAATGAAAATCTATAGCCAATTGTGAAGATGAAATTATATGAAAGTGGCAAACAATATAACAGCAACACAGACCTATGGGAAGCAATTAAAAACTATCATGTCAGAAATTAAACCTGCTGAAGTAAAAGAAAAATTAACAAAATCAATGGATGATAGATTACTAGCTGTTATTGAGAAGAAGGGTCACTATATTAAAATGTAAAGCATTCAAAGCCTTATCATATGTGTTTGTTATTTGTTCTCTTATAGGTGTTGACCAATTTTTGATGATTTTATTACCTTTTTATTGAAGTAAAATGTAAATATTTGGTTTTGTCTAATAACTTCAAACGGCAGTTCTTTAGAATACATCAAATAACTTCAATAAACTATATTGATACTACCTAAAATTTTAACTTAGGTTTTGTTTTGACATCTAAATTGATTGTTTAAAATTTGACAATTTTTTTTTCAAACCAAATTTGAATTATTGAAGTTTATATGATTTGCTTAATAACTTCAGACAGGGTGTAGATATTTCAATCTCCACATAATGGAAAGAAGTATTTACTAAATTTATGCTGTTTAAACTTACAGACAATGAGTAGCATCAATATAAAAAGGAGTACCAATACAACATTTCTTCTTTGATTCCGTATTATTCCTCAAAATATATAACACTTACTGTAGAAATGTACTCTCTGAATTATTAAGAGGGTTTCGCTTAACAATTCAGATATCCCAAACGAGTTTTGAACAATAAATTGCATAACAAGTAGACTAATCAGGATAGGAATTTGTGGAGAACTATCATCTTTCACATCAAGAAGGGACATAGCACATAAAAGCTAGAACATTTTTTTCACTTGTTGAAAATTGTATTTTTTTAGTTAGATAATTGAAGTCATACACCATAATTGGTTTAATTATATAATCATTATATAATTAATTATATAATCATTAATCCTTGTTAACACACCACAAACCAAAAGCTATAATAATTTCCTTAAATAATTTTCTTTTAAATTGAATATAGCATGAAGAACATACATATTGAAATTTGAGGAAATCAGTTTTAGGTCTTATTAGAGATCAGTCCTGAAGTAAATAAAATGAATATAACATGAAGAAGCAGGTACATGTTGAAATTTTCCAAAAGAAAATTCAGTTTACTTCAAAGTTTGAGAAAACTCATATTAAACTCTGCACTTGTGTGTGTACCACTCTGTGTTTGCTTGCTGCAGTTATCACAAGGGCGAATATTTTTAACATTGCAAGTGAAACAGCTTTGTACAGTTTGTTAATAATTTCCTCCTGAATCAAGGGTTAGATAAACGTCTTTCATTGATTCCTATCATCATGCAAACTGTAATAAAAATGGTTAGCAAACAATTAACTCCCTTGTGCCTCCCATTTTTTTTTTCTCTGAAAGATCATAAAAAACATTTCTTCTTGTGAAAAGCCATGTACTATCCAGAAATTGATGGCTCAAATCACTGCAAAGTTTTTAGAAATTGATATCAAACTCTGCAAGTGTGTGTGCGTCACTCTACTTGCTCATCACAATTGTACATTGATTACAATGAAGGACATTTTTAACATTGCAAGTAATTTACCTGTTGCCCTGTTTACACTCCTCCCTGGTCTTTTGAAAATGCCAAACAATCAACTGAGTGTCATCAAAGCAGAAATTGCATGCTACTTTTGACTCATTTTTTATATTTGGTATTTGTTATAAGCAATAACATTAAAATGGCTTTGCAAGTTTTAATGAGTAAAACTGCTTTCTTAGCTACCAATTTTATTGGATTTAAGATTTAACTAGAACCTATATTTATCTTAACAATATTTCTTAATGATTTTTTTTTTTTTTTTTTTTTTTACAGTTTTTCGCAATCTGGCTATGTGAAAGCACATGAGCGCATCCACACAGGAGAAAAACCATTTCAGTGCTCTGTGTGTGGAAAACAGTTTAGCGACCCAAGCAACTGGAAGAAACATGAGCGAGTTCACACCCGCCAGATGTCAGAGGCTACTAGTGACAAGTCTCACCTTCTGAAACAGAGTATCAGCAATTTGCCGTCCTTGGTGCAACCCCGTAGAATCAAAGCTGAGTCACCATCAAACACCTGTAAGATCTGCGGTAAGATGTTTTCCAGCCAAAGTAGCCTCGCAACTCATCGACGCATACACACTGGTGAGAGGCCTTACAAATGCCTGACATGTGGAAAGGCTTTTACACAGGTAAGTTCTTGCAGGTTAATGAACTTGCCTTAAAAGCCATACATTAAAGGTTTTATTTAACAATCTTGTGTACACATGTTCCTTGCATTCACTTATTATTGTAATTTGTACTTTTTACTTTACAGACTCTAGACTTGTAATTTTTATCCCCTTAGCAAAGAAAGTTCTATTAGGAAGATATTGATGTACTATATTCTTATATTAGTATTATAGTATCATATATTTTATTATGGTATTAGTATATTAGTGTTTATGTTGTACTATATTCTATATAGATATTGTTGTACTATGTTATTTTTACTTTGCAGGCTCTAAACTTGTAATTTATATCTCTCTGGCAAAGAGAGCTCTTATATTAGAACTATTTTTATGAGTGATATATACTGACTTCACTATATGTATGCATGCACACACACATACACACACACCTGTGTATCTCTGTGAGTCCCCCAAAATGTACATATATTTGTTAGTAGCTGAGGGTCCTTATTACATGAAAAATAAGAAATAAATTTTACAAGTAAATTCAGTTCATGTATTTCTTAGCTAACGCACACGCACACACACACACACATATATATATATTGTTTAATATATTGAAATGTAATTGTCATCTTTGATAATGGCTTATGTAAGCTGAAAGCTTAGATAAGATTAAAAACCATGTATCAATATGGTATTTTTCTTTCATCTTTCAATGATAATGTTATTAAGCTTATCAGACAATATGAAAGGAATTTACTTAAAATAAATAGACAAAACTTGTCTATATTATTTAATAAAACATGCATCAAAAATATATATATATATATATATATATATATATATATATATATATATATATATATAATTTTAATGGACTTTTTTTAAACTGGCACAAAAATCAAAAAGTCTTACTTAAGAAAACAAACAGAAAAACAGAAAGCAAACACGTAATTCCCTTTTTTATTCCTGGGAACCCCTTGGATGCTAAGTGTGCTTTAGCATTAAGATATAGGAATCCATCATAACCAAGCACATTTCAATTATTCTTAAGAAATGCATGTCTGTCAGTAGGAGCTTTTGAATTCTATATTTGCTAACTTTATTTTCATATTAAAAATGTAAACAAAGTAATTTTAAGCAACATTATTTCTTCTTATTATGAACATTATATTTAAGAAGCGCATGTGTTTAAGCAGAGATACATACATACATATATATATATATATATATATATATATATATATATATATATATATATATATACATACATATACAGGGCATGCAAAAGTAGGTATACAGTAATGAAAAATACAATGTGTGCACAAAATGTATTAACGTATTGTATTGATTATACAATCAATACTGGTATAATGCTTACTGTGTACCTACTTTTGCAGCCCTCACATATATAACAAAAAGGTTAGCAAGGAAGCCCTCATCACTGCTGAAATGAGAAATAACAGCTGCTGAGATTGAGAAACCTCTTCTCCTGAAAAATGTTTTTAATAGAAAGATTTTAAAAATTTCCACCCAAATAAGACTGGCTGCTCAGTCAATGAATACCAAATATTCCCTCATTAAGAAACAACAAATATTACCATTACTATCACTGTGTGTGTGTGTGTGTGTGTATATATATATATATATATATATATATATATATATATATATATATATATATATATATGGTGGTACTCACTTGGAAAAACCTTGGATATTTCGACTTGTAGTCAAACAAACCAGTACCCAAGAAAAAATGAGGATAAAAAAAGAAAGAACCAAGAACATGAAACTAAAGGTAAAAAACAATCATTCAGAGTTCAAGCTCAAAGTCAAAAAAAAAACTCCAAAACGAGTAACGGCAACTACGTAAAGTGCTCAATACATGAAGTAGAGCAAACCTAAGATAGACCTAATGAGCCAGAGCAAACCTACCTAGGTTTCACCTAAATGGATCGTCAGGGTATATATATATATATATATATATATATATATATATATATATATATATATATATATATGCACGTACCATTACACACATAAAAACTATAGACCTTAAAACTATAGTCACCATCCTACTAGCTTAATATCACATTGAAACACCAGTTCTCTTACGATCATCAAAGTTAAGCAACCATAAGTGTGGTCAATAGCTAGATGTGTGACCTCTTGGGAATACCAAGTGCTGTAAGCTTGGATGTGCAGGTGGTATAATGGGCTTACAGTCATATCATGTTGAAACACTGGTTCGCTTACAATCACCAATGTTGAACCCAGGTGGTACCTAGGTGGATGACCACTTGGCTACACAGGTGCTGTAAGGTTGGTGGAATTGGAAATCAGTGAGCTAGGTTTCAATTCCAGTTGGGTTCATTATATTAACTTAAGCACAAATACCCTTGGGAAAGGTATGGATTCACTTCTTCTATAGGTTAATTAGTAGAACTGGTGTCTGAAAATCATTATCTTCCAAAAATTCTTAGAATCTAAAAATGTTTTCTGGCTTTAAATAACCTGCAAAGGGTTGATAAGCCATAAAAAAAAAAAAACAAATAAATTTGGACCAGAGATATATCCTAGTTTCGGTCATACCATCCCAAACATGGTGAAGCACTTGGCCAAAAAAAAGTTAATATTTACTTCCCCTCACTTTCAGGTTTAAAAATCAGAGGCAAGAGTTACATGTTATACAATAATAATTATGTCTTTTTGGGGTTTTTTTGTTTTGTTTTGTTTTAATATTATTACTGAAAGCTTAATATCTCAACACAGAAAGAAACAGATATTAGATATAAGAAAATGATATCACATTTACTCTTAAAAAAAACTGATACAGCATGACATCTGCAACAAAACATTGAATTTAATTTTCAATAATTTTAATTTTGTTTGTACTTTCCTTGATATTTATTTTCTATGATGTTGAAAAGCCCCAAGATATTAAAATGAAGTGTTATTTTCTGAATTGTTTTATTTTTATTTTTTTGTGTATGTCTTTCCATACATGTTTTAGATTTAGAAAAAAACATATATTCTCTTATACAAAGGTTGCTCTGAAAGTAATGCCTTCCATTTTATTACATCAGCCTATGATGTGGGTGATATGACAATAAATTTTGAACTTTTTCACCAATAACATAATTTTTTTCTTTGCCTTGTTACAATTTGCAATCTGGTAAAATGGCATCTGATATAAAAGTGTATATGAACTAGAAGTGTATCATTTAGTTCCTTCATGCTGAAAAAATTGCACCTATTGATGTTTGCTGAATGTTTACAGAGACTAAGTAGTGGATGTGAGCACAGTTAGTTCAAAAATGCAATAGCAACAGTGATATGTCTGATAAGACTACCTTGCACAGTTATCTACCCACAAAATGAAGATGACCTAAAAAAAAAAATATATTACCAAGAGTGATGATTATGTGTGGCGGAAAATAGTGTTCTATCCACAGGTGTTATTGTGCTACCTGTATTTGTTGTAGTTTCTACAAAAATAAATAGATGGCATTACTTTCTGATTACTTTCTTTATTTCCATATATATATATATATATATATATATATATATATATATATATACTCCATGTATATTTTTTTGCTTCTAACTTTGTGTTGTACTAGAGTTATCTGACTTGTGTTGCCCACACCAGGTGGCAGTGTTTTTGTTATGACAAGTGAACCGTTTAAAGGTGATTACAAAGCTTAAGTGGAAGGTGAAAAGAGTGACTCTATGAAAGAGTAGAAATAAAAAAACTAAATAAATAAGTACAAAGAAATTTTTAAAAAAAATTATATGTGAAAACTTAAGGACGTAATAAAATATACCATAGTTTTTGACATCATTGTAAGACTGGTCAGAAACAAGTTCCATTTGGACAGCTTCTTTCCGAGGGCTGCTGCTTCATGAAACCGACTCCTAAAAGGATGTTTCTCCAACCACTCTACAATATGATTCATTTCATACGGAAACTAAACAAACACTTTTTATTTGTGAAGTCTTTATTTTTTGGAGATATATTAGCTATCTGGAAAAATTATTTTTGACCAAAATGATCAATGAATTTATAGAACGAGGAAGTCTGGTTTAATACCTGTATTCAAAAAGTATCGTCATACTAAATTAAATTTCATTAATCTTATATTAAGATGGTCTATTTAACTGTATACTCATTTTGGTTATGGGTGGGTAACTTTATCAAATTGTGTATCAGAATCACTTCCACATATATATATATTCACAATCACATAATCATTTATGGTCATAGACAGACCACATATATTACAGCAGTGGGTGTCTAAGGCTAGATAGAACACACACACACCTCTGACTGACACCAAATTGGTTGGGTTTCAATCCTGGCTTGAAGCATTCGAATGTCTAGTTACACTGGGGAGCTGTGATACAGCAAAACAGTACTGTCTGCGAATGACATACATATATATATATATATATATATATATATGAAGAAATATAGTCTTAAGGTGTGCTATATTTATGGGATGAATTGTTCAATATCAGAGATAGAGCGTGTGTAAATATAAAAGTAAACATTGAAGTCAACACGTAGAGGCAACGCAATCGTCAGACGATTGCGTCTAGCATGGAACAGACTGTCACCTCTAATTGTTGACTTCAATCTTCACTTATATATATAACTAATATATCCTATATCAGCCAATCAACGGATACCTGATGATGACCAGGCAGTACTTGGTCGAAACGTGTCCATAATAACCACTTCTGTCAACCTTGATTAAAACAATAGTTCAAAACAATACAAGAATATTGACAATTACTCATCTCGGAAAGGAAATACTAAATTAATCTGGTTTACAACAAAATATCTTTTGAGTTGATTGTTTAAATTGCTAATTTCTTTTTTCTTCCTCAGTGAATTTGCTCCACATATTTTGATTATAATTTCCCAACTCATTTAAGTGGTATCATGAAAATTTATTCACTTGTTAACTGTGGTAGAAATTTGTATCACTTACAGTTGAGCTTCCAAATTGCAACAATGGAAATTCCTGTCACTCAAGGTTAATAAGCTAAGAAAAAAATAAACATTTATTATTGATTGAAGGACCCAGAATATGAAATCGTTATTTTTTTTTATCATTTTTTTTTTTTTTTTTTAGTTATCTAACCATATTTTTGTCTTATTTCAGGTCGGCACCTTGCGCACCCACGAAAGAGTACACACAGGTGAGAAACCCTACCAGTGCAAAATCTGCGGGCGTACTTTTGCCCAGTGTGGCAGCTACAAAATGCATGAACGCCGACATATGAGCATGACATATCGAAGGTGCCGCCTTTGTCAAATGAGCTTTGGAACGTGGCATGAGCTGCAAGACCATGTGGCCACCCACCATGCTAATCAGTATAACCCTGCTTTGATCTATTCCCTGTCTGATGGCCAGGGGGCTGATATTGGAATGCCAAATGGTGATTATGATCATGCTGGGGGTAACACCCCACCAGGGTCTCTCATCATCGATCCCGATGAGGGGAAGCCCGATTACTCCAGTCATATACCATTAGCATTTAGCAGCCCTGACGTTAGCAAATCATTGGCTAAGGCATCTCTCTCCCCTATGTCCAGTGCTCCATCTTTAAATGCATTTGTCCCGCAATCCATCAACTCCATTGCGCAATCTTTAAACTCAAAATCATTCAATTCCTCAATGGATCACCCTGAGGATCTATCTACTCACTCTTTCCATTCAGACAACATCCAGAAGTCTGAAATGTCTGAGGGGCAAGAAAACATACCGCCGCCCAATGAGGAGCCAGTAGACATGATCACGACTACAAACCGTGACCGACGGTTCAGTTCGGAGTCAATTGTTAACAGCAGCAATCGTGAAAGCAACAGCAACCAAATATTTCGGTATGAGACTTCTCACTATGAGAGTTTGTTGGAGAACGACATCACCCCGACGAAGCCTGCACACCAGTCTTCAGAAAATTCAAGTATATGTAGTTCTAAATCGCCTGAGGGTGCTCTCTTGCAAGACCCCATCATTAGCCATGACGATAACAGTCAGCAACAGCAGCAACAACCGTCTGCTATCACTCGACTGAACCTCAACTCGCGAATGATCCCCTCTTCATCTTCAAGCTCAACCTCTTCAAACACTCGCAAACAGAAACATCCCATGCGTCGCTGCAGCAGTACCAATGGCAGTGACTATGACACACCTGCTCAGCCATCCAGCCCATCACCAGGTGTAGTGGTCATGAGTCAGAAAGACCGGGACGCTGATGACCAGTCTATGCTGACCTACCTCCTTCAGAAGGGGAAAGTGTTTAAATGTGTCCACTGTCACATTGTCTTCGATGACTGCTCCACCTATGTCTTGCACAATGGCTTTCACTCGCACAATGGGGAACCATTTCGTTGTGGGATCTGTCACCTGAATTGTAAGGACCGTATCGACTTCAATTGTCATCTAACGAGTCACATCAAATAGATTTTTTTTTTTTTTTTTTTTTTATGTTTCTTTGTGTTTTTTTTTTAAACCCTCTCCTCCTTTCTTTGAAAAGATTATGGTTCTTTGTGTAGTCTCAACATTCAAGATGTTTAGATTTAAATTTGTTTGAGTTTTTTTTTTTTTTTCAACTGATATCTGTATTAAGGTCAAAGTTCAAATGGCATATATGTGAATTGACCTTTTTTTCATTGATGCTAATTGACTTTGTTTTCTGCAGTGTTGAAAATACTACAGAACATTATCATAAATCTAAATAGTCATTTCACAATATGCAACAATTTGAACAGTGACTTTGTTTATTTTCTATTTTTCTTTCTTTCAAGCACCAAGATATTGATATGTAATTTCTTGTGTAAATGAACAAATTAATGAGTTAACTGTTATTTGTAGAATATTATAGAATATTTAGTGTCTGCTTATTTTATTATTGATTTTATGTTTTGTTTTGTTTTTTTGTTTTTTTTTTTCTTTCTCTTAGGATGCAAGTACCTTGTTGCTATAGTAACCATTGGCTGAGTGTTTCTATCTATTGGGACATCAGATTTGACTGGAATGATTTTTTTTTTTTAAATTTACTCTCATAATTAGACTTAGTTACAGAAACAGGTGGTTTAATAATTGCATGTGTAAAAACACGCACGCACTACATACAATGTGTGTTTGTGTTTGTTTAAATAATCATCTAAAAGAAAAAAAAGAAGTTTAAATACTCATTTATTAAGAAAAAAAAGAAAAGGTAAAAAATATTTTCAGGATGGGGAGGGTTTTTCTTTTATTTTTTTCTTTTGTTTTTTTTATTTCTTTGTTTTTTGGGTTTTTTTTGGGGGGTTCCAATTATTGCCACTCATTGATTATACTTGGTCAACCTGTTTTAAAATATATGAGAATATTGTCCATTTTCCAAAAGCAGATAACTACCTGGTTTATCTGTTCTTACTTAAGCCCTCATTTTTTTCCCATCCTGCTCCCTTTACAAACTTTTTTTTTCCCCCTATAATGAAGTGAAGAAATAATTAACTTCACTGCAGATTCATTGAAATATTCTTTTTTTGTCTCTTACTTTGTGTTCAGAATCTCACATAAAACCAAGAATGAAAAAAAGAAAAAGAAAAAATGTAAGGTTTGAAAGATGTTTTTTCAAACCCCTGTTTCAGATAAGAGGATAATGGAAAAAGATAAAAAACAAAAATATGCTAAAGGATTTTTGATTGCACCAAAGAAAAACAGAATCTGAAAATGAAATCAGCAAATCAAGAAATTTGAAATGAAGAACAAAAATAAAACATAATTAGTAAACCTGTTCAATGAATTTTCCAAAGGCATCGAATATTTACAGTGCTATTGTTATCCACAAGCACACACCTTCCAAATGTGAAAACATGGTTGGAGAAAAAAAGACATAAATAATTCAAGCCATTTACAAGGAGATTGAACGGGATGGGGGGGAAAAAATGGAAGGAAATTTTCAAACTATAACAAAAATTATTCACCAGAATAACAAACTGTATATTTCCTTCATTTTTTTTTTTTTTTTTTTTTTTTTTTTTTTTTTTTTTTTTTTTTTTTTTTTTTTTTTTTTTTTTTTTTCATGGGTTAAAAAAAAGAAAAAACAATTCACAATTTCTAATTATTGGGTACTTTGAATGGTTTTGGGTACCTTGAATGGTTTTGGGTACCTTGAATGGTTTGGCTATTTTATTTTCATGCCTTGGTTTTCTCAAAGACAAAAAATATACAAAAGAGAAGAAGGAAAAAAAGAAAAAGAAAGAAAGGAATACAACATTAGCATGTCTGTGGCCTTTCCTGCAAGACCAAATCAGTCTTTACTAAGTAATGGCTGATTGGGTGAGATTATTTACAAGCAAACAAAACAAACAAAAAATACAACTACAACTACAACAACAACAACAAATTAACAAATGAAAGAAAGAAAAAAAATAAAACCAAGATCTCAATACCAGCCAAAGATTGCCAATATGAAACATGGCTTTTCATGCTATCCATATAAATCTTTAGTTTGTAACATTTTTTAATGTTATTTAGTGAGTTGGATAGTTTCTCTCCCTGTTGGACTGTAAGTATGGCTTGGCAACTAGTACTGCCATTATTATTATCATCCTCATTATTATTATTATCATTATTATTATTATTATTATTAACAACCCATCATTATGCCTACTGACATACATAAGTTACAATCTCCATTCACTTCTTCCTGCCACAGCTCTCTGGTAACAATATCCTCCACGAAAATGCTGAATCAGCATCGGAAGGCAGCCATGTTCAGGTGATAGATTTTTACCATCTTTTGTCTTTGTCAAAATGCAATGATTCTCCATCCAAAGGAAAAAAATATATTATTCTTACTTTTATAGCTTGGATGAAAACTACCACAGCACCTGAAATATTTTTCTCATTTTATTTTTATTTATTTTTAAAAATTTAGTTTTTGATTTTTCATTCAAATATTTTTTTTCTCTTAATAGCAATTTTTGCTTCATTTTGTTCATTTATTCAACATCTATCCATCTTTCTTTTTTTTTTTTTTTTTTTTAATTTCATTTCAACCCTAATGTATTCCTCAATCACCACTTCTTATTGTCATCCATTAAATCTGCTGCTTATCAAGGAAGGAGACAGATCTCGCCCCAACCTCTAACTGTACCTGAGAGCACATCACAGGGCAGCGAGGACAAGATTTGGGGAAGAGAGAAAGAAACAAAACCAAAAAAAAAAAAATAAAGATACTGCTGTTGCAGAAGGAGGATTTGGAGAAAAATGACAAACAAAATCCGTAAAAAAAAAAAAATGGCATTGTGGTGCTGAGCTCTGTGAAAGGTTATTTCCAAACAAGCCTGAGAATCCCTGAAAAGTCATATGCCTCAACATCTTACCATTTGTTCATTTTTTATGCTCTTTTCATGAATTGTTGTATAGAAAGTCTAGTATAGTCCATGTTTCTTTCTCTACAAATTCTTATTTATTATTATCTACTACTATTACTCCAACTAATACTACTATTACTATCATCAGCATCACCACCACCACCACCATTATTATATTCATTAAGTAGTTTCATCTGTTATTGATCACTGTATGAACAAAACTGTGATTAGATTATTTTCATTTGATTATACATTGACAGGTGAAACAGTATAAAATGCCTTTTATTTCATTTGGGGGACTAGGAAATAAAAGAAAATTCTACTTTGTTTTCATTTATAATCAGTGAAGATATGCCTTTCAGTTAACTAACACAGCATTAATTTAAGCTCTAAAATATATCATCTCTCTCACTATATATATATATATATAAAAGAAATGTTGCGTCTTTTGGGAGAATATGCTTAAAGGAGCCGGATTCTAAAATTCAAGGAAGAGACATGCCAGTACTCCACTGAGTGGTGAACCCATTGGTAGTTCAAATTTCTGTCTAAATATTATATCACTTTCAACAGGAATTTTAAAAGACAGAAATTTGGCCTACCAATGGGCTTACCACTCAGCAAATTACTTGCATGCCTCTTTTTATAATTTTTTTAGAATCTGACTCCTTCCAGTCTACTCTCCCATATATATATATATATATTAGTATTAGCATTTGAATTTCCAAGTGGAAAGATTCTTTAATACATTTTGTCCTCTTAATATATTTCATCAGACTATAATAATATTCTTGTTGATAGAATTACATATATACATGGGGTGAGGGGAGATATAAACCTTAATGTTGGCTATAATTATGCACTGAGTGAAAGTGCTGAAGATGTGGGAATGCTAAATTTTTAAATTTTTTTTATCTCCCTTCTGCTCCCAGATAGATATATAATTCTATCAATAAGATTGTTATTTTAGTCCAATGAAGACCTTCTAAAGGACGAAACATGCTACACAGAATGTTTCCACTTTGTCATTCATTTGTCTAATATTTTTCTATATATAGAAATTTATCATATTCTTCCATATATCAATATGTACACACGTGTGTGTTTGAATGAATGAATGAATGAATATATATATATATATATATATATATATATATATATATATAAAGCAATTCCTAAAGCATTAATGGATTTTTTTTTTATTTAAGCCTGCATACATTTATTACTTCAAGTGTCATTTTTAGGGGATACCCATATTTGAGTAGACAATCCGTTTTTATTTTAAATAGTATTTATTTTGTCTACCAGCTCATGTTTTCTCGACACTAGACAAAATAAATATTTTAAAAAATAAAACGAATCATCTACTAAAAATATCATTTGAAGTAATTATATATATATATATATATATATAATTATATATATATATATACCATCACATGTGAATTATTCCAAACGGTGCTAACACACGTATTGGCATTACTGTGCTTTTACATATATAATAAGTAGAAGGAAAATGTATATATGTAAGCTCCTACAGAAATTGAATAAACCCCATGTTTAATTATTTTCTCTTAATCTATCTATTTTTCTGTGTATATTTTCCAAAGTTAAATCATTTTGTTGAAATATACCAATTCTCTCTCTCCAGCCACGGCCAAGAATCTACATAGAACTATAGCGTGTACCCATTCTGAAAAAAACACAATTTCACAGCCAGAATCATTGCTACCAGTATTATAGTTACTTCCTTTCATATTCCTTAATAAAAATGACAAAATATCTTCAACTGCTTTATTTACATAACATGATAATTTCACATTTAGGCTCAGTTTCCTTGTTTGTTCAGCTTTACTATGTTTCAAAGAAATAAATATAACTGAAAACAACTGATTAAACCCTACTATAATGTTTACAACCATATCATGTTGAAATTCCAGTTCCTGTACAATCATCAAATTTAAGCAATATCAAGACTGGTCAGTACCTAGAAGAGTAACCATTTTGAGAATACCTGGTATATGGTATAGTGATATATGGTGTGTGTATATATATATATATATATATATATATATATATATATATATCTTTTTG